AGAAATCTTGAGGCAACCAAAGTAGCCTAAGTCTGAAGAAAGACAAGTGCCTGCAAGGAGAGATGGGACATGAGCACTCGCTCACCTGTGGCTACAAGTAGATGACAGGATCACCACAGAAGCAGGTATAAAAAAGTTCAACTATTCTTTCATGAATTGCTAACGACCAAGTGTGGGCTTGCATGAGAGTACAGAATCCTTAGGCGCCACAAACACAAGAGAAATTTACACACACACACACACACACACAAACACACACAGGCTTTTCTGCATGGATTTAGGGTACAGACCTAGTAAAGAAAAGTCACCACATGGGAAAGTTAAGTCACCATTTTTAGTTTAGTCAGTTTCTCTCTTTGTAAGGAATAAAAATCTTAAGCTCTAAGGGAAAGACAACAAACCCTATTTCTTTCAGGGTACAGAAGATCTACTGCAAATGGGGAAAGTTAAAAACATAATGTCTTTTACTTTGGGAGGAAGGCAATAATTAGTTCTGAGCCAAAATGATTAGAAGTGTGTCCTACCCCTAAGAGAGGGTCAGGATAACTAAGAAAGCCCCATTCCCATGACTCAGGGTCACAAGATCTGTAAGAAAGGTTAATTCTGGAAAGCAGAGAATTCCTCTCTGCTTCACACCACCAGGCTAATAAGCACTTTGTAAGAAGCAATGACAGTATACTACTAGGAGAGGGCAAGAGCATGGAGAGAGAATCTCTCTGAGGCCCACATGAACAGAAACGTCTGAAGTTGAGGGTAGAGTGTGAATATTGAGAAAAACCTTCCATAAAACTAACTCCCATACTAAGTACAAGGTAACAGAGTAATCTGAAACTGGTAGTAAACTGAGGGTAACCACAGCAATGACATAACCCAAGTGTAGTTTATTTCCTTTTGGATTGATTCAACCTCAACATTAACAATTTAGCTGAACAAGTGTGCACACTTCAAGGCACAAATACTATTTACTCCAATCTACACTCATCTATCTACTATGTCTAACATTTAAACAGAAATTTTAAGATGCATAAAAGGGGGGAGAGTTCATTCTCAAGAGACAAAGCAATCAACATAAATAGCCTCGGATATGACTTAGCTGTTGAAACCATCAGTCACAGAACTTAACAAAATGATGATTGATACAAGGAAACCTTTGGTGAAAAATATGGAAAACATGCATGAACAAATAGGGGACTTCAGCAAAGATGTTAACTATAAAAATGTCAACTAGAAGTGCTAACAATGAAAAGAAAGGGATAGAACTGAAGAATGCCTTTGGTAGTCTTCGTAGATTTAAAAGAGCTGAGAAAGGAATCAGTGAAAGTGAAGACAAGGAAAAAAGTGATCCAAACAGAAACAAAAGAAAAAAGAGAATGAAAATACCTATAGCACACTCAATCTGAGCAACTAAGAATTGTGGGTAATATTGAATGTTCTTTCACATATAAAATTGGATTTAAAAAGGAAGAAAGAGAACAGGGCAAAATAAATATCTGAAGAGATAAAGGCCAAACATTTCCACAAAATAATGAAATATTTCAAGTCACATATAAGAATCTCAGAGAATACCAAAGATCTCTAACTCTTATCTTTGATAAATACCCCATCAAAACACACATGCACACAAACAATAATTTTCTATGCATTTCAAATTTAAATTTCTGAAAAACAAAGAGAGAGAAAAGTCTTAAAGACTGTTTCTGCTAGAGAAAAAATACAAAGAAGCAGATAAGAATTATAGCAGACTTCAGAAACTACGTAATCCAGATGACAATGGAGTGACATTTTTATAGTGCTGAAAAAATAAATGTCAAACCGGAATCCTATACTCAATGTAAATGTCTTTTATAAATGAATGAGAAATATATACTTTCCATGCCATGTCAGAGACTTTATTACTACAAGCCCTGAGCTATAATAAATGTTACAGGGAATTCTTCAGGTGTAACTTTTTCATACCCGATAAAAACTTGGACCTACATAAAGAAATGAAAATTTCAGAAATAGCTAAACTAAAAATTAATATAAAATAATTATTTACTTTAATTGTTATCTACATAAAATGGTAGTGAGTATATAGGAAAAATAAATGTAGTAAATACAGGAAAAGTATAGTAGTATTGTAGGTTTATGTTACAGCAAAAGTATATGACAACTATTACCATACCACATCCGCTGGGATAGCACAATGAACTGGTTGAACAGCCCTTGAAGGTAGTCTGTCATTAGCTTAAGATATATATTGAAAATAGCTATTAATAGTTGCATGGCTATGTGTGTTTGTTTAAACTAATAAAACTTCAGTGAATTTTACCAAATTTATATTATACTCAATAGGTGTTAAAACAGGAAATTCTTATGCACAACTTACCTGTTTATCCTCTTGACTTTTCTTCTAGGCATGGCATCACAGTTCTGATGAATGATGATGATAAACTATCCCCCTATGTTGTCTAATCTTACCTTTACTTCTTACCTTTTTTTGAGATTACTTCTAATATTTGATGGAGGAGAAGGCTGTAATCCTTTGAGTCAAAATAAATATGTATACACCCACACAGGCACATACACACACCCCTCAGGAATTAAAATACGTATAAAGCAATGGAATTGTAAATGTGTCATAAGGAAGAGGAACTTCTTCCGTCTATGCATAACATGTAATTTTCTATTAATTAAGTGGCAAAACTGATCAAGATCACACAAATGTTAAATAACCATTCAGTATGATACTCAATTAAGATAGCATAAATAATATATTTGAATCTCTATCATCTCACTGTCTCTAGTTTATTTGTTCCATAAATAGCTAAGGTCAAAATGGCTTAAAAATCTTTTTTTTAAATAAATACTGGCATTCTCTGTTCCTTATACTCACCAAGGTTCTTTCTGCATGTAGGACCTCTCCCCATGCTATTTGTAATACTGAAATTCTATGACATGGTTGATTTTGTGCAAAATCTAAGATGTGTCACCTCACTCAACCTCAGTAGATGAGTTAGAAAGGAAGCCCCTTCTGGGAAAATGCATCCCCAGAGATGTGAGTCAGAAAGTAGAGGGTGGCACCATCTGAATTAGAAAGGGATGGGAGATCAACACTGACACTCCAATAAAATAAAGGCTCCAGGCCCAGTTCTATGTTTTTATGTCACTAGGAATTTTCTTATGTATAATACATTACAATTGAAATTACACAGTTTTTTCTTATGTGTGTGTGTGTGCTTACTTACGTGGCTCCTACAACCCCTCCACACACATACATACATATATTTCTAGATCATACGCCTAGGAAAAGCAGGAATCTTTGCTTATTTTGTCCAACACTTCATCCCTGAAGACAAACAGAGTGCCATGGAGCTTAATATGTAATCATTAAACAAATGCAGGATTTTTCTTGTTATATTCTTCAGCAAACTTTATCACACATACACACACACACACACACACACATTCACACTCATGTATGCAGTATGATAGAGAATTTTATGATAACTTTTCTTTTTATAACATTCAGTTTAAAGTTGAATGTGGATAATTAGAATGGCACAGATACATAATATAAAAAGTAATATTATTTGGGTACATTTCATTTGAATTAATTCTCCTTTGCATTGGTGATTTTATTAATTTTCTGCTAATAATTTGAGAATATATGTTGCATTGTTTGGTTTAAGATAGATTCACTAATCCATCCATTTTGTGAAGTGGATCGGTTCACTATAGATTCATTAATCCATCCCTTTAGTAACAATAAACATGGGCCAAAGACCTGAACAGACACTTCTCAGAGGAGGACATACAATCAATCAACAAGTACATGAAAAAATGCTCACCATCTCTAGCAGTCAGAGAAATGCAAATCAAAACCACCCTAAGATACCATCTCACTCCAGTAAGATTGGCAGCCATTATGAAGTCAAACAACAACAAGTGCTGGAGAGGATGTGGGGAAAAGGGTACTCTTGTACATTGCTGGTGGGACTGCAAACTGATGCGGCCAATCTGGAAAGCAGTATGGAGATTCCTGGGAAAGCTGGGAATGGAACCACCATTTGACCCAGCTATTGCCCTTCTTGGACTATTCCCTGAAGATCTTAAAAGAGCGTACTACAGGGCTACTGCTACATCGATGTTCATAGCAGCACAATTCACAATTGCTAGACTGTGGAACCAACCCAGATGCCCTTCAATAGATGAATGGATAAAAAAAATGTGGCATTTATACACCATGGAGTATTACACAGCACTAAAAAATGACAAAATCATAGAATTTGCAGGGAAATGGATGGCACTAGAGCAGATCATGCTTAGTGAAGCTAGCCAATCCCTAAAAAACAAATACCAAATGTGTTCTTTGATATAATGAGAGCAACTAAGAACAGAGCAGGGAGGAAGAGCAGGAAGAAAAGATTAACATTAAACAGATACATGAGGTGGGATGGAAAGGGAGAGAAAGGGAAATTGCATGGTAATGGAGGGAGACCCTCATTGTTATACAAAATTACATATAAGATGTTGTGAGGGGAATGGGAAAATAAACAAGGAGAGAAATGAATTACAGTGGATGGGTTAGTGAGAGAAGATGGGAGGGGAGGGAGGGGGGATGGTAGAGGATAGTAAAGGTAGCAGAATACAACAGTTACTAATAGGGCATTATGTAAAAATGTGGATGTGTAACCAATGTGATTCTGCAATCTGTATTTGGGGTAAAATTGGGAGTTCGTAACCAACTTGAATCTATTGTATGAAATATGATATGTCAATAGCTTTATAATGTTTTGAACAACCAATAAAAAAAATAAATTAAAAAAAACAAAACAAACAAACAAACAAAACAATAAACAATAAGTTTTACAGATGTAACTATGCTATCTTAATTTGATTCATCTCTCAGAGTAAAATGTCATGTTTTACATTGTTTGACTTGCAATGTAGGGTTCAACTGAAAATTATTGTTGTTATTAGAAAATGAAAAAATCAATACATAATCTAATCCCACTTACCAAGTAGATTCTTCCATAAGTACCAAGGCCAATGGTTTTATCTAGTGAGAATATTCCAGTTGGATCCTGAAAAAAATAGTAAAAAAAGATGTCAATGTTCTTGAGAAAATTCCAATCTGCCTTATTTATTCATCTAAAATTTACATTTGAAGAACTTAAGTGTCATTTTACCAAAAGAATAGATATGTCATAATATTTTGGATAGAGTTGAATCATTTATAAAAGAGAAACAGGGGTACAAACCTTAAATATGTTTGTGATTAATTATTATAAAACTTTTAAGTACATACAAGTATGTGAAGCTGAGGAAAATTCATGATGTAATTAGAAAGGTAATCAAAATAGAAATAAATTCACTTACTTGCTGTTGAAGTAATCAGTATCCATTTTTGAGTGCTAACCAGACAGCCAGAAAGTTTAACATATAGCAAAAGGATTAGATTTTGGATCCAAAGTCTAGATGACTTATTAAGATTATAATAGCTCTATAATAATGTTTTATTAGTGCATTATAATTATACATATCATTGGGGTTCAATTTGACATAGTCATATTTGCATCGAATATAATTAGCTCCACTTCAGTCCCAAATTTGTCCTCCTCTTTTTTTCCCTCACTCCCTGGTGCTTTATAGTTATACATAAAGGTGAAATTTACTGCGGTGTATTCATATATGTACGTAGCAAAATCTTGTCAATTTCATTTCAAAGTTCCTCACTTTTTCCGTCCTTCCTCCCTTCCTACTCCACTGAGATTTCTATTTTCATGGAATCCCTCCCTTGCCTCCTTATTTTGCTCTAGCTTCTGTACATGACAGAAAATATTCTACCCTTGAATTCCTGGATATTGCTTATTTCACATAGCATGGTGCTATACAGTTTTATGCATTTACTGGCATATGCCATAATTTCATATTTATTTATAGCTGAGTGAAATACCAGTGTGTGTGTGTGTGTGTGTGCACGCATGCATGCATGTGTGATATATTTAATATCTTATTTATCCATTTATCTGTTGATAGGTACGTGGGCTGGTTATATAACTTGGCTATCATGAATTATGATGCTCTAAACATTGATGTGCCTGTATCACTACAGCATGCTGATTTTAGATCTTTTTGGATATTTATTAAGGAGTGGTATAGCTGAGTCATATGGTGGTTCTGTTCCTCATCTTTTGAGGAAACTCCATATTGCTTTCCAAAGTGTTTGTACTAATCTGCAGTCCTACCAACAATGTATGAGTGTACATTTCTCCCCACATTCTTACCAGCATTTATTATTATTTTTATTCTCAATGATTGCCATTTTAATTTGAGTTGAAATCTCAATGAGGTTTGATTTACATTCTCTACAATAACTCATAAATAAGAAATAAATTTATTTATGAATAACAAGACCATGGCATTAAAAGAACAGCATCTAGGAAAACTAGATATTATTTGTTTTATTTTTAAATAGTAATATTTACATCAGCTGAATGCCTTTTTATAACACAAGTTGATAGTTTTGAGACTCAAGTTTAAATATAGCATCATAGGAAACAAAATATATTCATGGGCAGAATCTTAAGCCTTCCATATTCATCTTAAAGCATTATTTCTTTACTTTTAAATATGGGTGTTCTTTTCTTATTTTCCACAAAACAATGCTTTTTGAAATTTTTACTTTATGAATTCTCAGACTATTTTTATAATACTTAAATGAGACATTAGTAGATGCCAACTTATACAAAAAATGATATACTTATTATACATAGAAACATGTACATAGAAACTTTGACAAGTTCTTGAAAATTCTCATTACGTATAGAAAACATATTTAATCCTGGTAGAAAACATTTTTATCACTATGACAAGCAAATTAAACAGAAAAACTATTGAATATATGCAACGTATACAAATTAAATCATAGACTTCTTAATATTGGCATGATGTTTGTGTCATCTAGCAAAACTGTCAGAGGAAAATGACACAGCTCTGAAATTGCGTCAGTCAACAAATATTCAACTAGATGGAGAGTCAGGAGATTTAAGTTTTAACCCCAGCTCTGCCATTAATTAACTATATGACCCTGGGTGAGTTATTTACTCTCTCTGGAATTCAGTTTCCATACATATAATATGAAGATGTTGTGTTAGGTGATTTCCAAGCTCTAAAATTTCTACCATTCTAAAATCCAGATGTTTCCACTGGATTAATATGATCATTGTTAAAGCAGCAGCCTACTTTCTCAAAATCATCATCAAAATTAATATAACAATAGAGTTATGAGTATAAGCAAATAGTTCAGGAAGTATATTCCCAACGAAAAGATGACATTATTCAGGAATTGAGAGGTAAAAATAGATTGTTATAATGCCCTTGATATTAAGCTTATCACTTTTGTTATAATTCATTGCAAAACTTATGGGGAAAAGTTAGGCAATAAAGAAATCACTAAATGACAAGCTTAGAGACTTTATCACTTTAGCATGTTTTCTTGAAGAATATTATTAAAGGATGTATTTTAGAAATTAGTAGTTTTGGAGAAACAGCTGCTGGTCACTTTCAGAAAATTCATACATGTTAACTGATTCATATTGGTAAACCATTCTTTGTTATAGTTAAGGCTTCCCTTTAGCTGAAAAAGATGCCATTTGTTAGAGGATTGTGGTATTGTGTACACAACTTTTTTTCTGAATCTCTGAGCACAGTTAATTTTTTTAATGCTGTTTCTAGCCTTCAATAACATGTGCTCCTTAAACTTAGATTTGTACTTGGTGGTAATTGCTTTAAAGAGAATCCAAGGAAGTGTACTATAATAATAAAACGTCTATGGACTTATAGAGGCTTTATTTTCTCCGTATCTGTGTTGTCAGGAAACTGTCTCCTACCCACAAATAACCAAACCATCTTTATTGTATTCTTGCTCACATTTAATAAAATGTTTTTTTATAAAATGTCCTGTTTTTTAAAGAAGCTCAACTTAGTACCTATATATTCAAAGACTATATTGTTTTCATTCGTTTTATTTTAATTTCCTGTCTCGAAGCTACTATCTTTCAAGAATAAATGGTTGTCAAATTGGAAAAAAAGAGGGAAGAACTGTGCCAATTATTAAGTTAATAATACTCAATTTCTTATACTTTCCACTTTGTCAGAGCAAGTTTATTCTGGGCTCCCAAGGAAGGAAGAATTTAAAAGGAACTCTCTTTGTGATCACTGTGAAATTATGAGGTCTACATCACAGGCATCTTCATATTACTCAAACCTTTCCACTGCTCTGCCACACTGAGATAAGAATACCAGAATAGGAAAGATATATCTATTTATGACTTCTATATCAATTTGTAGATTATTTGGGGTTTCAGTAGACTTTGTGTTCCATTTGGGTAAACAAAATAATAAAGGAGAAATTCCAATTTGTAAAGCTTTTCAGTAAGGAAAATTACTAAAAATCATAGTTTTAAAATATTTGGGGACTATAACATTTTTCGATAAATATTTTCATGATATTTTTCCTACCTGTCTAAATTATCTTCTACAATTTAAAAGTCCTAGTCTAACTATTACCTGAAATTCAAAATTTTGGAAAATCCTGTCTGTCTTCTGAATTCAAGGGGAGAGGAAAAGGATTGAGCACCTTGATGATTAATTTAAAAAGGGTGGCGGGGGGGGGGGGGGGGGGGGGGGGCGGGGGGGAACAGGAAGAAAAAGGACCACTAGAAGGCAGTGTTTACTGGTCAAGGGAGATACCATCAAAGCAGTATGACCCACAAAACCAAATATGGCAGAGACTTAAGGAGAAATAGAAATTTTAAAAATAGTCACCAAAATAAGTAAAGGCATTTTAAATTTAGGATAGAAAAGAAGAAGTATGAGGGAAAGTATTCCAGTAGTCAAGAAGCAAAAGGAAGGAGATTGTGCAGTACCTAGAATGAGATAGCAGAGACTTTTTTGTTTTAAAAATTAGGAAGAGTGATTTTATGAAAAGATAAAACCTAAAAATGATGGAAATGATAGGAAACATGTTAGAGTGACATCCAGGCATAATTCAAGGAATTTATTTCACAATTCAAGTGGAATATTTAGAACGGAAAAATCTCTTCTTATAGATCAGTGCTTCTCAAACTGTGGATTGCATAGGCTCCCTTTCTATAAGAATAATATGGAGAATTCTGTTAAAAATACAGATTATTTGGGCCTAATATTGAATTTTGAAATAAGAATTTCCTAGGATGGATCCCCAAGATCCCCAGATGATTCTTGCATACTGTTTTTGTGCATCAACATATGAAAAGCACATCTCTAGAAACTGGATAAAAAGACAGAAAATAGATTGAAGTACAATGTCAAACTAAGGTGATGCTCTATGTGTAATGGAAGATACACTGAATATTTTAATCCTTGTGGACTTTAAAGTAAAACTGCTTCCAAACAACAGGAGCTAAAGGACTTTGTAAAGTGGGAATTTTCTCATTACTGAAAGTGGAAAACAGGTTTGATCTGGGTGGCAGGGAATGGGAGAGTTAGCAGTTATATTTAAATATAAACCTAATGTAATTCAAATATAGTTTTGGATCATGTACTATTTCAGATCACCTCTGCCACTATGGTCCTCAAGGCCTGTCTAATCCTGACCCCAATATAGATTAGGACTACACATGGCAGTGTCAAATACCAAGGCCACAGCCCTGAGGAATGTCATTACCATACTGGGCACAGAAGGCAGAGGGGACAATCATAGTGAAAGACATGCCAGATTTGGAGATGAAGAAATAGTTTCCAGTCCCAAGTATTGAGTGACACAGGCATACTAAGGAGGAAAAATACACACACACACACACACACACACACACACACACACTCCGGGTATTGCTGATGGGAAAGGTGAAAAAATACACACACTCACATAAAGAAATGTATAAAGCCAAAAGGCTTTGCAATAATACCCTTTTCAAAAAGGAACCACAAACCGCAAACTTCTGCACTTTCTATTTTTTCTACCTATAAGAAATATTTGTTCAATAGGAGATCAGGGACAATTACAGCAACCCATCAATTACACAAGTATGATAGAATTGGCCTATTATTCACTGATATTAGTATTAACTTTCTTATGACTCGATGGTATTATACAAAAAAGTTTTATAATTATATAACATTAAAACTCTTAATTGTAAATATTGTGTAATTTTCTTTCCCTTTCCTGTTTTCCCACCTTCCACTTCTGCTTCATGTTTGAATTTGCAAATATTATCCATCCAATAAAAATACCAGAAACTTTCCACAAACCACTTTCTTTAAAATCTCAGTTCACACAGCAAGCCTGTTCTCTCTCAAGGTTTTTTTTTTTTTTTTTTTTTTTTTCCCCCTTGTGGTCATTTATCTGTCCAGCACTGCAGAGCATATAATGTATGAACCTTAAACTAGACCAATATTTAATTATATTTCTGTGTGCTGCAAGATAATTTTTGATCAATTTGACAGTCCAAGATTTGAATCTCCCCTCATTATCTGGCAGTTGCCAAACTGTTTTACTTGGTATTGACAGTGCTAATGGTCTGATCTTCACATTTGTCCTATTGAGGATAATTATTTCCAGGGATACCACCATATGCAGGTTTCTTTCCTTGCTTTACAATCTCTCCTTTGCATCAATGTGCAAAGTGCAAATTTTCACACGAATGACTTAGATAACTTTTCTTCTCTTCATTTATTTATACTTCTTTAAAGACTCTGGAAATAAGTCAAATGTAAAAAAATAAAATTCCAAATCATTGGTATATACCTTAGTCACCAAAGCAACAATAATTTCCACATAACTAAAAATTTGACATAAAGGAAATTCTGAAGGGTGTGTTGTTCTTACACTATATATCTTAGGGTTTGGATATGGGTGTTTGGGGAGGGAAAATATCACGCATAATTACCTCAGAGATGGGCAAAATGGCTCCTTATAAAATTTATAAATTTAAGAATTTTTAGGAGCTGAGGACTTTTTGAGATTTTCATGAGATTTATAAGATGGGGCCAACCATTGGTGCCCTAAGGTTTTGCGTCTAGTACTCCCTACATTACAAATTAACCTCAGCTTGATCCCCTCCCCACTTGTGGTCTTCCCTACTTAACCTTCAGAAAAGTCATACTCCACCAATATAAAGATTGCAGCCTTTCTGCATATCTTCTGGACTTTCACAAATTATTATGTCCCAGGCCATGACCATTTATTTATGTCCCCCCCCCCATTTATTTTGTGGCAATAACATTTTCACTTCTTTTACTCATTGGATGTGGAATTCCCTACCTGATCATTTCTAGGAGTCCTTTCCCATTCCTCTCTTTAGTCATTTTTAGAAAGGAGTTTTTTTTTTTTTTTTTTCAGTTTGTCCATGTGTGGTTTTACATATCTGCCCTAGTTTGGTTGTCTTTCTCTCTCTCTTCTCCCACCATATACAGAGAATTTTGTAGAAGTGTGACATTTCATTGTGATTGAATCTTTATCTGAATATAAAAATTCTATTCAGAAAGAAAGCCACCAGTTGAGGCCTCCATATTCCAGAAATATTATGTATACATTGTAGAGAAGGAATTTCAGGTGCATGTGGGGTAGAAAAGTTACTTTAAAAAGGTTCTATGGTCTTATTTTATGAAGGTGCAACAATAATTGCAATTCTAATATTTGTAATTCTAAATGTGTGTATTGAGGTTTGTTTTTTCAATGACTGTGAACAATTTGCTAAATGTTACTCCTGTACATTGCCTCCCTCCACAGACACAACATTGTTGTGTAAAGTTATATGGTGAGGTTTAGAGAAAGCCACATTTTTTTGTGGGGGTCAGGCATCTGTCATTATCATGAACACAATCTTTAAAGGCCAAATATAAATAAAATTAAGGCAAAGCAACTTTGAATAGTCTTATAACCTCAAGGTTAATATTTAGCTTTTCCCAAAGCAAGCAGGCCACTGCCCTGAACTACAGATGCCTGGGGATCATTCCAGCACGGTGCCTGCTTATTTCCCTTTCTGAGAGTCCAGGGGCCCTTTGCATTCAAGAGAGGGTGCAAGTGAAATGCCAATCTAAAAAGGGAACTTGAAAAACGGATTTGGGTGGGATCCAATATCAGCCAGAAACCAGATGCCAATGAAATAAACGACACGGCTAAAATAATAAGTCTGCTAATAATGATGGCAATAATAGCTCACCAATCAATTACAAGTGTGGAGAAAACTGGGCATTGGGCAACAGGACAATCAGCATATGAAATCCACGAGAAAAAGATAAATCTGGATAACTAGGAAGCATAATACTTTTTTTTTAATGGGGATGTGCAGAATTAACTTCTTTCCCAAATGGCGTCGAGTTCTTTTCGGTCCTGCAACACTAAAATTGGGAACATTGTCCTGGCGAGAATAAAGTTTTAGAAATTGCTATTAGAAAGTGAGAAAAGTTAGACTCCAATGCGTAATTTTCAAACCCGTTGTCACCTAAAAGTAAAGGTCACTCGATGAACAGGCATCTCCTCTGGCAAAAGAAGAAAAAGACGGGTAGCCTGTAAGAGGAAGGAGTACTCTTAGGAAGTCAAGGGACTTCGCACTTTTTGGCCTTTCTTTGAGCTCCTCTGGGATAGGTACCCAAGTGCCGCTAGACAAAGCAGGGTGCCTTTTGAAAATGTACCACTGTTTAGGGACCACTGCCACCCCTTCACCCCACCGCCGCCCCTTCCCTTTGCCTTTTGGTGGAGTTTGATGCGGTCCTGGGTACTTAGGGGTGTCTATTCCTCCTGCCAGTTTCCCAGGTCCCCTTCCGCGCCTGCTGTTCCGTCGAAGTCCTGGCCAACTCCTGCTCTGGAGACTCTACTCTCCCTTGTGCTCAGAACTTGAAGAAATAGAGTACTTAGAGGGTGACAGGCGTCCTTCACTTACCGGCAAGTGGCCCAGATCTGTGACCTCCTTGTCCCTCCAGCCCCCCGGTCCCGCCATGGCTTCAGAGGAGCAGGAGCGGGCTACTGACTTGGGAGCGCACCGGGTGTCAGTGGAAACTGACGAGAAGTTGAAGGGAAGGGAGAGGAAAGGGGATGGCGGGAGAAAGGAGTGGGGATTGGGGTTTGTGGAGTGGGAGATAGAGGAGTGGAAAGTGGAGGGAAAAGAGCTGGGAGTGGAGGGAAGCTGGAGTTTGAGAGGCGGGAAAGCAAGTTTGGTTAAGGCAAGAGGAGAGTTTGAGAGCCTCGGTACTGGAGAAGAAGCTAGAGGGGTGCTCCGCCGCGAGAGCGCAGTGTCTGCCCCAGCAGGGTGCGCCTCTTTCAGGGTGAGGAGGGGGGCGGTGCAAGGAGAGGGGCCCGGGAGCAGCTCGAAGGGGATTGGTGCAGCGTCACGTCGCCAGGTGGGCAGCCGCGCAGCGGGGAGGCAGGCTAGGGGCCACTAGCCAAGGGAGGTTCTGAAGGACTATAACGGTTTGCTAGCTGGCCTTTCTCGGCCTTCACCCCGCCCCCGCCCTCTCGCCCCCTCCCAGGTCCACTGCTGTGCCCGCCGCTCCCGCCCCCGCTGGAGAGCGTTCCACAGGAAACTTTTTCTAGGCAGCTGCCAGCCCCGGAAAACCGGTCCCGCTCCGCGCCGCTCCCAGTCTGGGCCCCACTGCTCTGCCACAGTCCAAACAGCCCGCACCCTCGTCTCCCCAAGAAACACTTGTGACTTTTCTAGTTGTCTATTTTCTCTTTCTGCTCCTTTGATTTCATTGATCCATTTATTGCAAAACCCCATCAAGTTAAAGAAGGAAATGACTTGCTACCGGATTAGGGATAAAACCTAGTCAAGCCCTTGTTTGAGCGGCCGAGTGGAGCCCTAGGGCTGCCACAGCTCGGCCTTCGAAGCCACTAGCAGAGGGCTGTACAGAATGGACAGAGACACTAGAAACTCTCCTCCAGACGGGCCACATCTCCTCTGGACCAGGGGCTAGTTGGTACTAGGCCGGTGCCGATTACGCCAAACAGCACCTGTTCACAGGTGCTTGGGGTAAAGAGAGACTGATGGTCTCTGCAGCCCGGGCCGCCCTGGGTCCTAAATTTACAGACGCAGCGTTCTCATTTCGCGGAGAAAGTTCCTGCCTTCTTCCCAGTTTCCAGCGTTGGGGCCGGGTTTCATTCATTCGCACATTCAGTGCAAAACGTTTCCCCGCGCTCACGCTCTTCTCCTCCGCTCCCCGCCCACCCCGCCAAACCTCAGGTAGGGATAACAGAAGGTTAAAAAGAATCGAACAAACACAATTTAGCCTTAAGTATGGCGCCCCTTGAAGCATTTTGGTCAAGGGTTTTAGTGCGTAAAACAAACCACATTCTAAGCTCTTGCGCTGCAAAGAGCACTTTAGAAAATATCCCGAAGTCGCTTACTTTTCCTGGAGCTCACAGACTGCTTCGCGCTTACCCTAACGCCTGGTCGGAACGCGACATTAGGGGTTTATTTCCTGTTTCTTTTTAAATTAATTTTTTAACCTCCTCTAAGAAGATTTATATGAATAATTCTTGCCACTGATCTCGCGCTCACCGTTTCTGACCCACTCTTCTAACTTCTGTAATTATTAACTTTAAGTATTTGTGGATTTTTTTTTCGTGTCTATTTCAATGCCTGAGTTTGACCTCTGTACATTCCTTAACCTCGGAACCTCCGTGAGCTGTGTAATGGCCACAGCCTGCCTGAGGAACCGGGTCTCGCTAAAGAAAATTCTCTGTTAACGGGTGCGGAGAAAGCCAACCACCACCTCCCCCCAAAAACAAACCTAGGTGTCCTGGATCGAATTTTCTCGTTAATTCAAATGTGATATTTACCATTATAGAAATTATATTTTCCAAGAATTCATATCTTGATAACTCCACCACACACCACACAAATCTTGCCCTTTAAAACCGTTTAAGAATTTTTTGGTGATCAGTAAAGTTCTTATGGATCTGCTTTAATGTTAGTATGGAAATTGACACTTCATAACTAGAAATGGGCAGGTGAGCCAGTAAATAGGAAGTTACACTTTTATATACATATCTTGTTTTTAGAAATAAAGTCACCAAATCAAGATATGAATTTAAAGGAACTCTAATCTTCACTAAAGAAAAGAAGCTTTCATAAATTTCCATTTTAAACAATGTGGTTTGTTGAATGTAAGGTGTGGGGAAATGCCCCTTGGTCCCCGATGGCAGACTCTTTTAGCCTGTCTAAGGGGACAAGTCCAGACCAGGCTAAAGATTCCAGGATAGATCATTGGACTTTCTAGTTGCAAGCCTCAGTGGGAGGTTAGTGGCTTCATGGCTCCACAGGGATTAGTCACATTACGGGAGAGATCCCCCTGGGTGGGGGGAAGGGAAGCTAGTTGTTTGACCAGAATATGACAGAGAACATACATTTTTTAAAGTTATTATTTTCAAGAAAAAAAGGAGGCATGGAAGAACATGGAAACTTTGCCTTTTAAACTGGCATTATAGGGATTTTTGTGGCTGACTTGGGAAAGGTCATCTGGGATAGCAGACCATAAGGCAAATAGATGGCCCCTAAGCATGAGGCTCAGCTTTAAGCACAACCCTGAAATAGGGCACTTTTTTTTTACAACTTAGAACTTCTCTCCCCCTCACCCCACCGCAATCACCTCCCCTCCCCACTTCTGACATGATCTTTTTTTTTTTTTTTTTTAATTTCCTGACATCAAACTCCACAAAAATAATCCTAGTCTGTGCAGGGTCCAGGAACTTGTCAGATGTGTTTTAACCAGAAATTATCTCTCTGCCAGCACTATATATCCCATATTTTTCTATCCCTTTCTTTTCCACTGAATGTTTTTTTATCTTACAGCCCTGGACTCTTTGTAACTTTTGATTGTTGCTTTTTTTAATAGCTATAGTTTATTGAATTCATACTGTATTTTCCAGGCTAAGTGCTTTGCATATATTATCTCATTTAATTTCTTGAAAAATTCCAGGTTATTAATTTTTATCCTTGTTGCATAGGCAAACAAATAAAGGCTCAGAGAGATGGAGTAGTTTGCCTAAAGCTTCACAGCTAGTAATTAGAGGATTCTGGCTTCCAACTCAGGCAGTCTGACTCCAGAGCCCACTTGTCAATGAGTGTTGAAGGACTGGTACATATTTTGAGACTGTGTGAAGAGAAGCCAAATTCAAAAAAGCCTCAGGGTAAGAGAGATCAGATGACAATAGTTAGGCCCCTGAGCTATACAGTTCCCCCTGCCCCCTTTCAGCCCTCAAGCCCTCCTAACAGAAATAACATGGACTTTATAAAAAACAGTGGAACCTAGTCATTGCCTAAGAGTAGCCAATGACTGCCTAGCAGAGATCACTAAGTGGATCACCTCACAGGGAAAGATCATGGATTTCACAAAGTGGATCACCTCACAGGAGAAAAATCATGGATTTCAAGCTTAAGAAACTTCCAGAACAAAGAGCCCTAGCCCTTTCAATGCTTAAAAAAAATTAAAATCCATTCCTATTCCTTCCAGAGAGATTTTCTGACTGGGAACAAACCTTGAGGATTTGAAGGAGGCTGTGTTTGTGAGCAATCGTGCTTAGCAGACCTGAGATACTAAATGGCAAGGTTACAGCCAGTTAGTTCAGTTGGTAGGAGTACTGTAAACATGGTGTCAAGGGCATGGATTTGATTCTCCAGGGGGCTGGTGTGCATCATTCTACTCTTTGGTCCTTGATAGCACCTAACTTCTTGCCTCTCAGTGTGCCTTTTATTGAAAAAAAACTTCGAAGTTAGTACTTGCATTTTTATATACAAAGAACTATGTATTCATCATTTCTTACAAGTGGCTTGTCACCAGAGTGTGGAGAAATTATACTGCAAAGACATGTGTGTGTACCATGACAAATATAGATTCAAAAGTTTCCTGGTTGTTTTTTGTTTTTCTTTTCTTATTTTTTCCCCATTTACACATGTAAGATTGGTAATATATGTGAATAGATAATGTATTCAAAGATTGAATCCCACGGAATGCTTTATCAAAATTTTCAAGTTAATAGTCTCCCCCTTATTTCCAGGGAATATATTCCAAGATCCCCAGTGGATGCCTGATAGCAAGTATAAGTATAGTGTATATGTATGTGTGTATGTGTATATATACACATACACACACACACACACACACACACATATATGCTATATGCCTACGATGGTGTTAGTTGATAAATTAGGTGTGGTAAGAGACTAACAAGAATAACTAATAACAAAAAAGATCAATAGAATAATTTTAACAATATACTGCATTGGGAATTATTTAAAACTTATGAATTGTTTATTTATTGAATTTTCCATTTAATATTTTCAGATCATGGTTCACTGTGGGTAACTGAAACTGTGGAAGCAAATCTATGGATCAAGAGAGACTACTATGCACAAAAAGTTCTGTCACTTATTGAATTTCCTCTTCTCTGAGACCTCACATGTGAAAATGAATCAATGTCTTACAAACTTCAGTTGCTACTCATTTGCTGCCTACAACACTGAGTCCTGGGTGGGAATAGTGAAATAAGATTATATAGTAATCTTCCTGAAAAGAGTATTCACATATCTGTGATTCCAAACACATCAGGTTCAATATCTGCTAACATACTTGTAAGTGGCTGTGGAAACCTATCTGAGAGAGGCCCAAAAAGTCCTAGTAGCCGGAGGAACCTTCTTTGGGAACCACTTGGCTAAAGGCCCTTCTTGACATTTTCTTTCTTATGGAGATACTTCTGCAACTGTAGGATTTCTACTATAGTTCCTAACAGTCTTGCTACCACTACTTTTTGATATTTCCTATGTGCCACTCCTCTACCTAATGTTTCTCAGGCTAAAGGTCATGAAATGTGCCTTCTGACCATAGTTTGCAAAGCTTCTGTTGCTTGTCATGGAATGCTCTTAAGCTCGGCATGATTTGAGCTATGCTTGTTTCTAAAATGAGACCCTGGAAATCTGATCCTAGAAGAACACAGGTCTCATAGCTATTGAAAACTGGAATGCCACTCTAAAAAAGGCAATTGTTTTATAAAGAGAACTAAAAAGGGGAAATTAAAACATAAAGTCAGATAGATTTCTGAAGTTGGTTATGAAGCTTCCTTTTTTCCTTAGTGTTTTCTCCCTTAGGAGGCCATAATATTTTGTTCTTGAATTTCCAGCCCTGCAGCTTTAGGATATCCATCCATCCACCCTCGCCTGACACAGATGTACATAGGAACATATTTACTGTGACAGTAATGAATCTTAAGTTTCAGTTTCTCTCACTTGCATTTCTAAGGCCATGGGAATGGCCCTAGTAGTTCTGTATAGA